GTGTGTGTGTGTCTGTGTGTAAAAAGTGTGAGTATGTAGCAGCAGGTGTAAACTAGAGAAAGCGATTCCTGAGGGCTGTCTAAAGACCGCCGGCTCTGGGTATTTCCATCCACTTGGCCGTGTCTCCCTCCTCATGCGCTCACACACGTTTCTGGAGTTTGTCATTCTTTAACTCTTCTCCACCCGGCACCTTGTGGCACCATCCTCCTTCTGGCCGGCATGGTGACACACATCACTAACGCTGGCACTCGTCAGCCCCACAGGTCCGATGCTAGTGACCTGTCTGTGTCCGCCTCTTGAGTCATTTGTCTGAAGGCATGGCAAAGCATCGCAGGGGTGTTGCAGCGGTATGGGTCATAGAGAGGGATATTTAGAGTACRGTTTTAAAGACACACATCTTTTAAGCCCATTTGCACACCTGCACACGCAGCAGCTCAGTCCCTTCGGGTAGCCACAGACCTGGCTGTGCAAACAGCGAGCAGCTTGCTTGCTATCTTCTCAAGACATTTGTTTACAAATCCACATGTGCTTTGGCTTGAGTAATAATGTCTYTCTCTGTGTGTGTGTGTGTGTGTGTGCGTGCGTGCGTGCGTGCGTGCGTGCGTGCGTGCGTGTGTGTGTGTGTGCTGGCATTCCTAATCTTGTTTCCCCACTGTGCATGGGCCCTGCATGTGTGCATCCTCATTAATCCACTTAGTTTTGATTTTATATGTCGCAGACAGAACAAGTCAGAATTAGAAAGGTGCAAAGAGTTTTCTTGCGACCTCCTGGTGCGGTTCAGTGTAGCTTTGACAACCCTCACCAACCTTCTCGTAGGCTTTTACTTTCCAGCCTCCAGACAACCAGCAGCTGTATTTAACAAATATTTTGGATTTTTAATGCTTTGTTTTTTTTTTTGACAGTTTAAAAAAAATGTTTCAAGATAGATGAAGCATTTATTAAAAGTTTATTTATTCATCACTTAGTGTGAAATCAAACATAAAACAGGTTGTCCTGACTTTATCAAATAGTACAGTTTGAAAGAGTTTTGCCCAGTATTGTTGCACATATATTATTCACTTTTAAAATGCGGATATGCACTCAATGTATACAAACTCAGCTAAATCCACTGAAAACCTGAAGGAAACTTAAGTCACATGGTTGACCTACATTCTGCTCTGTGTAGGTGAACAGATATGGTAAAACAGAATGAGCTTAGAACCTCAGAAAAATTGTTTAGGTGGAAATTTAAAAATGAATCTGCTTCTAAATGTGAAAAAAAGGCGAATGAGTAAGGCCGCTTCAGACTAAATATCAGGGATCAAGCAGGGCGGTGGAGCGCCATAAAAACAGAGCTCGACATTTAAACACACGTGTATTTTGCGAATCTTTTCTTAGATCGTAAGTTAAGTTTCAGCTGACTCTATCTTTATCGCTGCATACTTTACTCAACAAATACGAGCATAAATCCGTACCAATACATCAAAGCTTTTGGATGTCTTGATTCCAATTGGCTCTTTCATGGATGTTTCCACTGTTTACCTATTTTCAGTCACTTTCAGCTGTTTCTATTAGCAAACAGATGTGGTAGCTCAATCATTTTGCCTACAAATTTTTAATTTAGGAATTAATATGAGAAAAATATTGTGTTGATTGTGTTTCTTACTTTATGATTTTTTGGGCTTGTTTTTTTCACTTTCTGCTGAAACCCTTCAAGGTATAATACTCAAGTGGTCATAATAATTCCAATAAAAAGGTGTTTTTTTGTCTTATTTTTATGTAATCTTCCACAAAAATTGTTTTTTTTAGCTGTCAGGACAATGTAGATGTTTGGTTTTTTTTTATTACTTGGAGTCATTATAGGAAACTAATCTATACCAGAAAAATTCAAAGCCTGAGATCAACTCTTTGAACCCCAGGACATTTTTTTACCAACACAAACTTTAACCTGTGTAATGTCAGAGCAAACCCTGCTGATGAATATTTGGGGTAAAATTGTAGCAAAGGTTGTGATGAATAATAAAAAAGTGGTTTGCCCCCCAAAAATTTGGAATATCTTAGAATTTCACTTCAATAAAAGCGGATAAAATTGACGTCGGGGTGCCTTGAGTAGACCCGACGCTGTTATTTTTAGAGCGAGCTTGTTGTGAGCGAGACGAGCGGCATCCGAGGGTGAGTGCTGTGGGTGGTGGAGGGAAATGAGAAGGCGGGGGGAGGGGGGTTCGCTCCCGATAACTGTCTGTAATCTAGTGTGTGTCATTAACGTCGGGACTGCTGCGCCCGCTCCACATAATTATGGTTTCATTCCCCTCTGCTTCCCGAGCAGCGCAGGGGCCTCTGACACCGGAGGACTGTGATTAAAAACACGAGGCACTTCACCCGCGCCGCTCTTCCTCCTCTCCTCCACCATCCTGCATCCTGTCTGATACGCTCGGAAACTCGCCTAATTCTGTCGGAGATTACCAGGCTCACTGCAGTCTTTTAGAACCCCCACCTTTTTATTTATTTATTTTTATCGTTTTGTCCTTCGATATATACTTTACATCCTTCTGGTTCCCGGCTTACTATTTTTATCTATCCTAATATGACCCTCCTGCTTACACACACACACACACACACACACACACACACACACACACACACACACACACCAACTTGAGATGACAATAGGCAGATTTTGACATGGCCAGTGATGCCAGAGCTTCCCATAATAATAGCCACTAATAGGGCTAAGCCTACTAATGTTTGACTGTGGGTTGTGCTGTTACTGACAGCGGTACGACCGGCCTCATTTGGTCACAATCGGCCTGCATTTGTTACACAGAACAACACTGGCTCCTGTATTAAATACCACACATACTATATGCTTTTATAGCCTGAGCAGCACACGCACATATATAAGTTAAAATGCCACCATATTTTCCTCTGAATTGTTGAAAACGCCTGCGTTAGAGCGAGCTTTCACGCCTCAGGGTCTTTCTAGTGAGTAATTAATTTCCAGCATGTGGGGGTAGAGACCAGAGCTCGTGAGCCTGCCTCCTGGCTCCGTCTGCCAGTGCGCATGTATGTGTGTGTGTGTGTGTGTGTGTGTTTGGAGGGGAATTACGGATAGAATGAAAGAGAGGGAGGCTTTGCGCTGGCTTGGAAACTGCGTCCTACCCTAGGAGGGGAAAAAAAACAGCAAAGCGCAGAAAATCGATCCAGGGGCCGCTCTTCTCAGCCTCTTCCGGATGCAAGAGTCCTCCTCTCCTGGGAATTAGATAACGGCTTGTAAAAGCTCTCCAGCACCAAGCTCTCTTCCCCCTCCTCAACTTTTAGCTGCTGCATCTTTCTGTCTTCCTGCCTGCCTCTGCACAACACCACCTTCATCTTCTTCGCATAAAGGCAAAAAGCATTAGCATCCAGTTTAATTGGAATCCCCGTTTCTTCTCATAACTGTGTGGATATTGTGTATTTTCTGCAGGTTAATATTTTATTAGGTTCTAATTGGCCTTTGTTGTTCGCCTCGGTGCTGTGATCTCCCAGTTAAGACACTAACCATGTGCGCTTGTGTAAAATTTAAAGACAGCAGTGTTATTGCGAGCGCTCATCAGTTTTTTTATGCGTTTCTCCTCCAGGTTTCCTTAGCTGACGAGATCAAGCCGCTGAAGTGGTATCCCTCCGTTTACCTGCTGGTGTCCATCTTTCCTCTCATTAACAGGTAACACAAAGTCACACTTGTCCAAAGCGAGAAAAAAAAATGGTGTGGTTTGATTTGCATGACAGCTTCGTTCTGCTATCTTATCTCCTCTCGGCCTCCCCTCCTGCTCAGCCTCGCCACTTCTCCTCTCTTGTTCTCCCTTATCTGAGCTCTCACAAAGCTTTGCTGTCTCAGTATGAACACTATAGAGGAGCGTGTGTGCGTGTGCGTGCGTGTGTGCGTGTGTGTGTCTGTGAGATGGAGGAATAAAGCATTATATTGCCTTTTATAAAACCAGGGCTTCATCAGCATTGGTGTGGTGGGAGGAGGTGGGTGGTCTGGTAAATGATAACCCCAGTGCTGTTATTACTTCTCTCCCACGTCACACATATACGCGCACACACACACTCACACACACACACCGTCCTCTTCTCTCCTCCCCCAAATAGAACCGGTGTGATTGACAGGTCAGGGTTACTAAGTGATTAGCTGCAGCGGCTCTGCTTGTCGCCACGGCAATGTAGGCGGAGACACAGGTCAATTACAGGGTCAACGTCTTTCAAAAGCTCCGGCTCAAACGCTGCCCCCCACCCCCCACCCACGCCCCACGCTGCCTCCTTTACCCTTCCTCTCTTTTCTCTCTCTGTTCACCTCTCCGTCCATCCCCAGTCCTCCTCTTCCTCCCTCCCTCCCTCCCCAGCCCCGGCTGTCAGCTGATGAAGATGACAAACTGCATCCTGTGCAAACCTGGAACCACCGTCCTCTCCTTCCCCTTCCCTTATTACCACTTTCCCTTCCCTCTGTCCCTCTTTTTACGCTCTAAAAGTCTTTGTTATAGCCCCCCATATTTTTACTCCTCCTCGCGCGGGCTTTCCATCTTTCTGCTCTGTGTTTTATGTCACCCCCCACCACCACCTTCCTCCTCCACTTTTCCCTCTCCTCAGCCACACAAAGCCCTTACTCTCTCCCTCTCTTGAGCAAATATGCTCAGCTCCGCTCTGCCTCTCTCCAGAGAATGAACGAGGAGAAAACAGGAATGAATTGCTCTCTCGTCGTCCTCCTCCTCCACCCCCTCCATCCCACCTCCTCCTTCCCCGTTCGGCAGCACTGCCTGTATATATCTCCGGCTCCTATTAATTTGTTAGCCCCCCCCTCCCCTTCTTCTTCCCCCACCCTCCTCTGCCTCATATCCTCCTTCGTCTCTTTTCTCCATCTCTCCCTCCTTCCTTTCCCTCCCCTCCGCTGAGTGCTGGAGTGTGTAAAGTGTTTGTCACGGTGCCATGCCGATGTGCTCTGCTTCCGCGCAGCAGACAGCCCCAGTGTGTGTGTGTGTGTGTGTGTGTGTGTGTGTGTGTGTGTGTGTGTGTGTGTGCGTGCGTGCGTG